GTCCCGGGGCCGTCCTGGGCACGGTGGAATGCAGGGCTCTCAGGGTGACGAGGGGCCGAGGCGCGCCAAGGGGAAGGAATAGTTCACCAGCAAGGAAGAAAATCGTCCGTTGGAGGGCCAATGCGCCCCGCGGCTTCCCCCGGCGTCGGCCCCGGCCTCCTGGCCCGCCCCCGCTCCTTGGCCCCTTCGGTCTCGGTCCGCGGCGCCCGAAACCCAAACGCAAGGATTGGGAGGCGGGGGCCGGCTCCGGGGACGCAGCCCCTCGGTCGAGGTATCATAATGAAGCGCTCGCCCTAAGACACCAGGCGTCCTCCCCCCTCTTACCGCGGGCCGAGCCGCGCCAGCCCGGACCAGCCACAGGTGGCGAGGTGCGGCACGGCCGGGTTGGCGCAGCCCGGTGGCAGCGGAGGCGGTCGCTTCTCCCCCCCGGCCTCGGGCCCCGTGGGCTTTCGCAGGTGATCCGGCTGGAGCCCCTGCGGGCAGCTTCCTTCGATATAATTGGGGGGAAGCGCCTGGTGTATCGCGATGAACGCCCCGACGAGAGGCCAATGCGCCCGTGGCTTCCTCCGGCCCCTCCCCCCGCCCCACCGCGGCCCGCGCGGAGCCGAGTAGTGGCTGCATGCAGCGTGCCCAAGAACCAGATAAGTCGGGGGAGCAAGGGGGGGGTGCGCGACCAGGAGACGCAGCCCGTCGGCGGCCATCAGCAAAAAGGGCGAGCGCTAAGAGGGAGCCAAGCGGTGGCGTTCCCCCGCGAAGTCTCTGCTCATGAGGTTTCATTCCAGGTGGGCGGCGAGGTCATGAAATCTCATCGGCGGAGCCCGGGGGCCTTCAGCCACGCCGGACCGGACGAGCGGCCGGTGTGGGGGAACGCGCCTCTTGGAACCCCGTAGAAAAGCCGGCGGCGGGCCAATGCGCCCCGTTTGGTTTCCCCCTCGCCCGCTCCCAGCCCGCCCAGAGCCCGCGGGCCAGAGATAAGAGGCTGCCGGAAGCAAGGCGCAGGGGACGCACCCCCGGCTTAACAGCAAAAGGGAACGAGGGTGGCAAAGGAGGTCGTGGACCGGAACACGCCAAGTGGGGAAGGGTCCGGCCACACTACCTGTGGCGGGGGGGCCAGGCCCCTCTCCCCCCTCGGCGCGATCCTGGCTCGGCTCATCCCTTGCGGCACTCCCCCAAGCTTTGCCGCGTAAAGACAGCGCATAGAGAAGAGGGGGGGGCCCGCTCGCCGTCAGTCGCTTCTGCCCCGGCGTTGGGTTAGGTTGGGCTAGGGCATAGGGGGCTGACGGCGGAGCGGGAGGAACCGCGCGCGCTCGGCGCTTCCACAGAGAGAGCGCGCGCAGGCCGCGGCCCCCCCCCCCCGCGGAACGTGCGCTTTGCGAACGCGGCGAAAGCGCGTGTTATTCTGCCCACCCACCCGCACCTCTCCTCTCGGTGAGCATCACAGGATTTGCTACCGCGCAGGAGTAAAAGCGGGGTCGAATCGCGCTGTGTGCGGCGCAAAGAGGGCGACCCACGCGTCGCGCAGGCCAGCGCCTGCTTCGCAGGGTCGCGCCAGGGGCGGGGGGGCCAGGCCCCTCTCCCCCCTCGGCGCGATCCTGGCTCGGCTCATCCCTTGCGGCACTCCCCCAAGCTTTGCCGCGTAAAGACAGCGCATAGAGAAGAGGGGGGGGCCCGCTCGCCGTCAGCCAAAGCGCGCGCGTAGCGCGCGCGTGGTTCTAGTATGTATATATATATATATACACTCGGTGGAGGGCGCTTTTCTGGCCATGCTGCTGGGGTAACGATGTACTGTAGCGCGTGCTGTGCTATGTGTTTGGTTCTGGAGTGCGCCTGCATACGGGGGCGTGTAGTACTACAGGCCTCGGAAACAAATAGCGAACACTCATGCCACATTCATCTGTGAACGCCTCCCCCTCCCCCCAATGTTCAAAGTTGGCGGTGGGTCTGATGAGTTGCACCTCGACCGCAGTCTCCCCCGCGCGTGCCAACCTTGAGTTTTGGGGGCAGGGGGGGTGTTCACTAATTGTTTCCCTCTACCGTAGTAACTATGTCCCTTTTCGTCCCAAGTTGCGTCCCAATCTTGGCCGCCACCGAGCTATGCCCCCCTTTCGTCCACCCCGAGCCCCTCTTCCATCAGGGGTGTGTACAACCTCCGCTGCATGCAGCTGGTTTCGGCCCCGCTGTCAGGCCAGCCTTTGTCGATACATCTGGGCGCCTTGAGTCCCAGCGCCGGGAGGCACCAGGGAAATCAGCCACGCGAGCTGATTCGATAACCCTACTTCTACTGCCTCCCCTTTCGTCCGATTCCCCTCTTGGACGATCTCTTTCACCTCTTCTCCGCCCCATTGTTCGCTTGATTGGATACTATGCCGTTGTCACAGTTGTTGGCCATCCTTCCACATGGCACGCGCGGACGCGCGGCCCGCGCGCCCTCGGGCAAACTCAGAGAGGGCAAATGTCCCTCGAGATCTGAGCTCGCGCAGCTTCGTAAAACACAGGCGGAGTAAGTTTCAGGGGACGCGGAGTAGGTCTTCTTCTGCTGAAAGACGAAGTGGAGTAAGTTCAACAAGAACGCGGAGCAAGTTAAGTCATGTGAGAAAAGCGCGCGGAGTAAGTTTTCACACCGTAATAGATCTATAACGCTAAGGAGAGAAAAGGGTTCGGCGGGATCCGAAACCTACTCCTCCGCAGGCGGTTGCCATTTACTACTCCAGATTTCGTAATAAAGGGAGGGGGGTCTCATTTCGGGGGGGGGTCTCTTCCAGGCTATCTTGGAGGGCCTGGGGGGGTCTGGGGACGAAGTTTTGGAGGGTTCTCCCACGGGGGAGGTCTGAAATGGCTTGTCTTGGAGGGTCCAGACCCCCTCCCTTTTATTACGAAATCTGGAGTAGGGTTCTACGGGAGGGGGGGGGGCCTCGTCGACGGGATGGTCAAGACTTTGACACGGGCATTCTGTGAGCACCCGGCGGAAGCGCCCTCCCCCCGAGGGCGGGCCCGCGGGGCACGCGCTGCGCCCAAGCAGAGGCGTCGACAGCACGGCCGCGCAATCCGAGGCTGTCCGCGCCAGACTCGGCGGCCCCCAGCTGGCTCCTCTTCCCCCCTCCCTCCTCCTCCTCCTCCTCCTCCTCCTCCTTCTCCTCTGCTCCCCCTCTTCCTCCTCCTCCTCTGCTCCCTCCTCCTCCTCCTCTCCTCCTCCTCCTCCTCCTCCTCCTCAACCTTCTCCTCCTCCTCCTCCTCCTCCTGGGAGGAGGAGGGGGGTGCAGAAAGGGGCCCCATAGGGCCCTTTTTGGAGCCAGCAGGGACCCTACATGGACCCCCCCCCCCCCTTGGGGCCATTTCCTCCTCCCCCCCCCCGTTCACATCACCACCCGTTCCCACCCGCACGATTCGCGCCGTGTCGACTGGCGGCGATCCCGCCGCCGGCGTTCAACGTGGAACGCCGCCGGCGACCCAGAATCGGTCGATGTTGAACGATCTGACGTTTCGGAAACGGTCGATCATCCAAGGTTGGACGATTTCCGCGGTGCCAGGAACCGACACAAGTGTCGATACGACACGAGTTTGCGTACCAGTTTGAGGCATAGCCCCCTCCTTGACTTTAGCATCACCTTGCCTCGATGCCACTCTCAAGGATGCCCTCGGTTCCTGAGGGCACACCCCTGACATTGTTATCACCTTCGGCTGGCCCGTCTTAGGGTTAGGTCAGGCATGTCCCCCTACAGGCGGATTTTGGACGAACATTTAGGATACCCTAGAAATATGCAACAAATGCGGAACATACTGGAAACAATTGTCCCCATATTTTTTTTGTGACAATTTTGGAATATTTCTCCTGTGTAGGGACAGGCCCGACTTTATCTTAGGGGTAGGGATACTCTTCGAACCTGGTCACAAGGGCGGGCGGGCCCTCTCCAGGAGATTCTCTGAAGTCTTGGGCCGACGCGACATGCACTTCCGCCGCTCTCCTCCCTCTGTTTCTGTGGAGGGTTTCTCCGAAGGGCTTAGGCGACCCCTCCCCCTCCTCCTCCTCCTCCTCCTCCTCCTCCTCCTCCTCCTCTTCCTCCTCCTCTTCCTCGTCCTCCTCATCCTCCTCCCCCCTCCCCCTCCTCCACCTCCTCCTCCTGGGGTCGCCTACGGCCCCGGGGGAAACCTTGCAGCTTTCTGAGGGCACATCCCTGAGATTGTTGTCACTTTGGCTGGCCCATCGTAGGGGGTAGGGACAAGTTCAGTTCGAGTCTGGTCACGGGCGGGCAGGCCCTCTCAGAAGGCTGTGAAGGTCCGGGCCGACCCGACACGCACTTCCGCCGCTCTCCTCCATCGGTTTCTGAGGGCACCCCTGGGATTGTTGTCGCTTGGCTGGGCCATTTTGGGGGTAGAGATACGTTCAGTTCGACTCTGATGTCGAGCGGGCGGGCCCTTTCGGGAGGCTCTGAGGGTTCGGGCCGACGCGACACGAGTTTCCTGCCGCTCCCCTCCGCCACAGGTGAGCCCAGACATCCAGCTGCTCCAATTTTGTGATCGTTTTTTATTCATTGTTTTGCTGGTCGGCGCGGGCCCTCGCACCCCCTGTCCCCTCCCCCCCGGTGGAGTGGATCTTGGTTGTTTTTGTTGGCGCCTGTTTCGGGCAGGTGGAGCCTCCCCCAAAATGGACGCCCTGTTGCAAATCGTCGCGTTAAACAGAGGTCTGGAGCCAGACCCCCCTCCCTCCCCCCTTCCGCCCAGCGTCGAAACGCCGAGTGAAAAACGCTAATTTTTTCGATGCGTGGGCCGTCCGGACCACCTCTCTAGGGCCGGTTGTTCGTCCTGAGCCGTTTTTTGACGCTCCCGAGGCTCGGCGAGCGCCCCCAGAGGCCAAAGACGGCCCCAAACCGCCCGCTCCAATTTTTTTGGGAGCGTCAGATCTGAGGGAGGCTCCGAAGGTCCGGGTCGACGCGACACGAGCTGCCGCCGCTCGCCTCCGCCCCGGGCCTCTCCACGATGCGGGGGCGGGGCCTTTCTGGCAGGTCTCGTCATGGTGGGGCAGCAGCGACGCGCCGGAGCCCAGCATGCAGCGGCGGGAGTGCCTCGCCCGGGAGGACCCCCAGAGCCCGGCGCCGAGCGGGGGCGCGTGCCCCGATGTCTTCTGGCCATCCCGTGTGCGTTCTTTTTATTGTCCAGCTCTTCGGCATGTGATCGTCCTTCTCCAAGTTTTCAATCGGGCCTGTCCCTCTGCAGGAGGAATATGCAAACACAGTAGAACAATGTCTGGGGACGCTGTTGGGATTGTTTGTGGCTATTTTATTCTTCGCCCAAAACCCGCCTGTAGGAGGACATGCCCGACCTAATCCAAGCTGCCAAGTAGCAGTAGATATTGCACTGTAAGTATCTGGCTCTAGATCTGGGTGACTGGACAATGGCCCTTTCCCTCATCACCACCTTCTTAGCTTTCGTATTCTCTGATCAGCGAATCTCGTCAATTGTTGCTCCCTTTCCTTATCAGCAAACCTCGCACGCATACCATGCAATGATCCAAGACGGCATGCTTTTCTCCATCTTCGGTATCTGGAGGCCGGTTTCGGGCTGGGAGCGTCAAACAGCGACTCGGGATTGAACATTCGATGGGGGGAAGTGGTCGAGTGGTCGGGGGTGGGCGTCTCGAACAAATCGAGGCGCCCGATGTCTGGGATGTGATTTGAGAGAGCGACGCCCACGGCCACGAGCCTGCTCAGTCTATCTTGCGTGGGTCCCGGAGACCGCCGCGCCCACGCCCCCGCCCCCAAAACAGACAGACAGAATCCCCTCGGGCCGCCCCGAAGCCGCCCTCCCTGTAAACCCTCCCTGGCCAGTTCGATCTTTTCAGCCGGCGTTCTCTTTTCGCTTTCGGCTCCGGGGGGGGGGCGTTCTCGGGCCCCCGGGCCATCGAAAACGGATCCTGGACGGAACACTCCCCCAGGTAAGCCGTACAGCCGGGGCCCTGCAGAAGGAACCCTTTTCGTTGGGGGGGGGCTCGGTGTTCCTTGCTTGTTCTACATTTCTGCGCCCCACCGCCGCAGCTCCCCGATGGCCCCCCGGGGCCCGAGGAAGGCCTGGCTCAGGGGGGGCGACACGGGGGGGCAGGCTCAGTGGGGGACGCATCGGCTCCCAGTCGCCCATCCATCGCCACTATAGGGGCCCGATGTCCCCAACCTGCGCAGGAACGTGCAGATCTGTTATCGGGGGCCCATCGCCGATCCATCGGCGATGCATCGCCGATTCCACGTCGAGGTTTCCGCCCCTGTGCCAGTCCCCCTCCCCCCGCTCGTGGACCCTCACTGGTGTGGTGGGGCCGGCGCGGAGGCCCAGGGCTTCGCGGGCGGGCGCCCCAGCCGGTCCCGTGGGCAACGTCAAGCAGTGGCGAAGCGTCCTGGCTCGCCTACAGGCCCACAAAAGAATGTTCTGATAATCTCTTACGGTCTGCACGGAATGTTCTTAGAACGTTTTTGGCCGAGATTGTCTTGTTTGAACATGTCGGGTTCATGGTCTCAGGACATTGTTTTAGTTATTGGGACATGTTGGGGTTCTAAGAACATCCCCTGGTAGGCCTACAGGAATGCCGGGACGGTCAGTCCCTGCTCAACGACGGGCTCCGAGGTTTCTGTCGCCATGTTCTGGGTTCTCGGGGTCCGCGGAGGACGCGGTGCCATGGCTGGCTTACTGCTCGCCGAATGCACAAGGGCCTGCTCGCCCTCCCTGCTGTGTGTGTGTGCAGACGCCCGAGCGCGGACCGACCAACGTCGCTGCTTCGAATGGGATGCCTTCTGGCAGCTCGTCTCCCTTCGATGTGTGAGCGCCTTGGGCTGTGTTCGAGTTTTTGCCGCCTTGTTCTGGGCTTTCGGGGCCCTCCGCGTGCCCCGGGGCGGTCAGGGAACGGCTCGGGATGGGGAGCTCGTCCTGGGCCCCCCACCGGGTCCAGGGCCCGTTGCCCTCAGGACCCGTTTTCCCCCATGACAGGCCGTGCCACGAAGCCCCAGATCCTCAGCAAGAACACGGCACCCATCCTCGTCGTCGTCATCATCAGCACCATCATCATCGTCGCCATCATCATCAGCAGAAGCAGCGCAATCATCAGCGCCGCCAGGAGATGGCAACCAGGATCTACCCTGTCGAGAAGCACCCCCTAGGCGGCCGCTCTGGCAGGGCAGGAAGAGGACGAGGAGGAGCGGGTAGGACGAGGAGCAGCGGGGAGGAGGAACATTTAGCGGGAAAGGTCGAGCTCAGAGCAGGAGGAGGAGGAGGAAGGAGGAGGAGGCGGAGGAGGAAGGGCAGGAGGGACTCGGAGGGACGGATGAGGCCCCCCTTCGCTCCATTCACATCCTGCATCCAGGCCCGGGTGTCCCACTGCGAGGGTGCCCGAGAAGTTCTGACGAACAGGATAAGTACGAGAAGAAGTTCTCAGGATGCCGTTAGACGGCGTCGAGCAGGAGCCCTCGTGCAGTCCCTCAGACCATCGCCAAGAGGAGACGGGTGTCAGGCAGGCCTTCAGAATGATCCAGGCCATCGGGGGTTCGCTGTCACATTTTCCACCCGCCCCTTTCTTGAGTTTCTCAATTGCATCAGGTGCTTGAATCAACAATGTAGCGAACGCAATAGCAAAGGAAGGCAGGGGTAGAAGGAGGGTGATGAGGATGAGAAGGAGGAGGGGGAGGAGTCGGAGGAGGGGGAGGAAGGGGGCGGAGGGGCAGGAATGGGTGCAGGGAGGGGTGGGAAGAGGTAAAGAGGGGCGCTCACGACGTGGCAGTAGCAATGTATAGGCATACGTTTTACAAGAGGCTTGCGCCACATCAGTGATTCGATTCTCACTAAATGGTCATGCGAAGTATTGCAGCACATGTTTTCCATCAGCTGTGGCCCTCATGTCAGGCAGTGAACATAGAAGTGTATCACCACCTGTGCATGTTCATTATTAATCGCTTCGCTCATTCCGCCGGCCCGTATGGTGCCATCGCAGGCGTTTGCTTGCGCGTTCGTGGCCTCTTGGAGCCTCGGTGGGGCCGTTTGGGGCCTCTTGGCGCCTCTTTTTAGGCCTCTTGGAGAACTCGGGAGGCCTCCAGGGGGCCTCCTGAGCTCTCGTGACGGTCTCTTGGGGGGCTTTCGGCGGGCTCTTGGCGGTATTTGTTGGTCCTCTTGGGGCCTGGGGCCTGACGTTGTTGGTCCTCTTGGGGCCTCACGGGAGCTTATTGGGGCGTCTTGGGGGTGTCTTGGAGAGTCTCTTGGGGCCTCTTTCGGGGTCCTGGGCGCCTTCTGGGGCGGAGGGCTCGATTTTTCAGTTCTCGGTTCCCTTCTTGAGCCCCTCTTGGGCCCGTCTTGGGGCCTCTTGGTCCGCCTTGGGCAGCACTTGGGCCGTCTGGGGGGCGCTCTTGGGCCGCTCCGGGGCCGTCTTGGGAGCCTCGTGGGCCGTCTTGGAGCAGTCTTGAAGGCCTCTTGGGCCCTCTTGGAGCGTCCGGAAGCGAAAAGGCCAGAACGCAAAAAAACATAGAAAAAACAATGAAAATCAACGATTTTGGCAACTTGGGGCCCTCTTCGGAGGCCTCTTGGAAGGCCCTTGGAGCGTCTTGGAGGCCTCTTGGGCTGTCTTGGGGCCATCTGGGGCGTCTTCGGGCGATCTTTGGCCGTCTCGGGCCTCTCTTGGACCGTCTAGAAAGCTTCTCGGGGCCCTCTTGGACCGATCTGGAGCCCTCTTGGACTCCGAAACAGAACTCCGGCATCTCTGGCCCGACCTTGCCGGGACCTTGCCGGGGACTTGCCGGGGACTTGCCGGGACCTTGCGGGGGTACTTTTCGTCCGGGGACCCCCAGGGGCCGCCCCGCGCGCGTGAACTAGAAATACTGTTAACCAGGTACCGGAGATCTCAGTACGCCCTGTTCATTATTTCGGCAATCTGGAGAGATCCCCAAAGTGCTTTGTGCTTTTGAACGACTGTCCTCTCCTAAACAGGTAAGTTAGACAGAGTATTTGGAAGCTCAGCAAGCGAGAGGTAGCACTCAACCGGGAACAACGTCTTAACGCCAACGTCACGGAGGAACGGTTGGGCAGGAATAGGAGCGGGGGGATTAGGAGGTAGGGATAGCAACCCACATGTGAGGAGCAGGACCACGAACAGAGGAGGAGGATACCTGAAAGTGTGATGTGTCCTTGTCTAGGCCTCCTAGAGGGGGTCGGAGTAGATGGGGTCGGAGGATCGCGCCGCATCGCCCATGCATCGCCGATGCGGCTGGATGTGGAGCCCGATTTGCTTCACGTCGACGTCGCCGATGCATCGCCCACGTCGACGATGCATCGCCAGTGCATCGCATCTCCGAAGTAGCAGCGATGCGGCGCGATCCTCCGACCCCATCTACTCCGACCCCATCTAGGAGGCCTCTACCTTGTAAGGGCAATGGCAAAATAATGTCGCGGTGCGCGGTGTGTATTTGACACGTGTTCAGTTGTGCCGGTCCTTGCGGCGGTCGGGGCCCTTGCGGTCCTTGACGCCGGGCCACGGGCGGACGTGCGCAGCAGCGTACTTGTTCATATCAGTTCTAAGCCGGGCCTGTCCCTCTACAGGAGGAATATTCAAAAGTAGTCAAACACCAGTCTGGGGACGATGTCTTACTATGTTTGACTATTTGTTTGACTATTTTTCCCAACCATCCTGTGGTGTTGGGTCCTCGTTTTGAAGAGACGGTGCCCCGCGTCTCCTTCCTCCTTCCTCCTCCTCCGCCGCCTCTCCCTCCTCCCCCTCTTCCTTGCGTTTCACCCGCCCAGTACAGCGTTTCGTAGCCCCATAGGGAGCTCCACCGAAGGCCCCATGGCTGCCGTCCGCATGCGTCCCGCACACCCATTTCGGCACACCCCTCACACGTTTCGTGGCCCCACAGGGAGCTCCACCGAAGGCCCCAGTGCTGCCGTCCGCATGCGTCCCGCACACCCATTTCGGCACACCCCTCACACGTTTCGTGGCCCCATAGGGAGCTCCACCGAAGGCCCCATGCTGCCGTCCGCATGCGTCCCGCACACCCATTTCGGCACACCCCTCACACGTTTCGTGGCCCCACAGGGAGCTCCACCGAAGGCCCCAGTGCTGCCGTCCGCATGCGTCCCGCACACCCATTTCGGCACACCCCTCACACGTTTCGTGGCCCCATAGGGAGCTCCACCGAAGGCCCCATGGCTGCCGTCCGCATGCGTCCCGCACACCCATTTCGGCACACCCCTCACACGTTTCGTGGCCCCACAGGGAGCTCCACCGAAGGCCCCAGTGCTGCCGTCCGCATGCGTCCCGCACACCAGGTGTGTGGCGTGCCGACATGGGCGTCGCGGCGCGCGGGCGCTGCCGTCGGGGTTCCCAGGGAAGCCCCCTGCAGAGGCGACGCTCAGAGTCACGAGTACCGAGAGTCACGCAGACCCAAACTGTTCACAGTCGTATACATACATTTACACTGGGCGTATCCATGCACGCATTCATGCGAATAGAATCAATCGCGCGCAGATTCATTCATAATCAGACTCGCTCGCGATCCGACTCGCACGCGCTCAAGCTTTCATATTCGGACCTATCGTCTTCGTTCGTGTTGTGTACACTGCCACGCATTTCGGCACACCCCTCATACGGCTCGTGGCCCCATAGGGAGCGCCACCGAATAAGATATTCACAATTGCGGTACTCTCAACTGCATATGGTTGGGTCCTTCGCCAGGCTAATTTAGTTTTCGTCCCAAATCCCCCTGAAGGGGAAACACGCCCGGCCTAATGATGGTCGTTGTTGTGTGTTGCCTTTGTGCGACATGGAAGGGGAGCGTGGCCAACGCTTGTAAGCTCGTGGCGATTCGCTGCTTTCCACCCTAAGCGCTCTTGAAAGAACTGGCGAATAATATGATATTCTATCATGGTGCCATGGATGCTTCGACGACGACAAGCAGGAGCAGGAGGATGACGACGACACGTATGAGCGGAGGACCATGACAAGCATCGGTGGCAACATGTTAACCCTACACCCACCTCCCGCGATTTCTAAGGGGGCGGTGGGGGTTCTCTTCGTTCGGGAGCTCCCGAGTGGAGTGAACCCTCACCCCCTCTTAGAAATCGCGGGGGTGGGGGTAGGGTTCACACGTGGCTACCTAAAGCAGGACGAGGACTAGCTTGAGGAGGAGGAGGCTGACGACAACATGGAGGAGGAGGATGAGGAGGAGGACTGCTAGCAGAAGGAGAAGGAGGATAAGGAGCAGGAGGAGGAGGAGGAGGTTGACGACGACATGGAGGATGAGGCGGCAGAGAAGGAGGAGGACGGCCAGCAGCGGGAGGAGGAGAAGGAGGCCGACGACGACGACATGGAGGAGGAGGAGGAGGAGGAGGAGGAGGAGGAGGAGGAGGAGGAGGACGGTTAGCGGGAGGAGGAGGAGGAGGAGGAGCAGGAGCGGGAGCCGGAGCAGGACGAGGGCGCCTCACGGGGCGGATCGCCGCCGCCAGACTCCTACATCCTGCGCCTCGCGGTCCCGGCGCTGCCGTCCGTGGGCGACCTGCACCTCATCGTCGGGGACGTTCAGATCACCAGGCAACGACGGGGGGGGCGGGGGATCGAGGAAGTCCAAGCCCAGACATCTGGCGTCCAGAGCAATAAAACAACATCAGTTTTTTCGTTGTCAACGGCTGCGCAGGGCCAACTCTTTTCCTCCTGATGTGCGGGCCGCAACACTCCGTAGCGCAACCCCTACCCTCGTAGAATTTGATTCGCGTGCTTCCAGAAAGGTCGCGGTGAACACACACACACGCGCACACACATGCACACACAGTCACACACACACACGCACACATGCACGCTCATACATACACATACACAGATACACATATAAACATACACATGCACACACACACACACACGCACGCACGCATACACACACACACGCACACTCACACGTACACGCACACGCGCACACACACACACACACACACGCACGCACACACGCACGCACGCACACACACATACTCACGCTCACACTCACAATCACACTCAGACTCACAGTCACACACTCACGCACTCACACACTTATACACTCACGCACACACACACACGCACACACGCACGCACACACACAAACACGCACGCACGCACACACACACACACACACGCAAGCACCCTCGCACGCACACGCAACACACTACACATAGCACACAACACACAACACACCACACAACACACAACACACAACACAACACACAGCACACAACGCACATCACACACCACACACCACACACAACACAACACACAAAACATAACACACAATACACAACACACAACACACTGCACGCAACACACAACACACAGCACACACCACACAGCACACACCACATACCATACAACACACAGTACACAGCACACAGCATACACCACACACCAGACTGCAGACACCACACCTCACACAACAAACAACACACAACACACTGCACACGACACACGACACACGACATACATTACACAACACACAACATACAACATGCACCACAGAACACACAGCACATTGCGCACAACACACATCACACACCAAACAACGCACAGCACACAACGCACACCACACAACAGACACCACACAACACACAAAACACACTACACGCCACACACCACACACAACACACCACACACCTCACATCACAAAGCACACAACACACTTCACACACCACACACCACACACCACACACCACACACCACGCAACACACAACACACAACGCACACACAACACACACACACCACATAGTACACAACACACAACCCACAACACACAGCACACAACACAAACCACACGGCACACCACTCCCCCCTTTACAACACACACACACCACCCAACGCACAATACACATTCTGTTGCACATAATGCAACACACAACACATACCACACATCACACAGCCCACACCACAACGCACAACGTTCAACTCACATCACACACCACACACCACACGCCACACAACACACAATTCACAAACCACAACACGCATCACACACCACACGACTCACATCAAGACACAGCACACACACACCACACCGCACGCACCATACAACACACAATACACATCACAAACCACACAACACACATCGCACAGCAAACAGCACAATCCACACCACACGACACACAGCATGCACCACACGTCACACACCACACATCACACAACACACACCACACTGCAGACGCCACACACCACACCGAACAATTCACAGCAGACACCACATAGCACACCACATACAACACGCAGCACACATTACACAGCACACACCGCACACCACCCACCGCATGACCCACAACAGACAGCACACTGCAGACAACACACATCACACAACACGGAGCACACAACACAGGACACACATTACACACCACAGCACACACACCTCACAACACACACAACACCCACTACGCAACACAATACACCCATGATACACAACACCACGCACTGAACACCACACACCACACAGCACACACCACACAGGTCACAACCATAGCACACACCACACAGCACACACGACATAACACACAGCACAAACAACACAGCACACTGCGTACACACACCACACAACACAACACACACCATACCACACTCAACACACAACACACACCACACAATATACCACACAACACACACGCACACACCACGCAACACACAGCACTATACTTACACACAACCCACACCAAACAGCACACACCGCACAACACACAACACGCACACCACACGACACGCACACCACACAACACACAACACACACCAACCAGTCCACAGCACACATCACACACCACACAACACAGCAAACAACGCACATCACAGAGCATACACCGCACAACACACCACACAGTACACAACGCGTAACCCACAACGCACAACACACAGCAACCAACACGCAGCATACACCACTCACCGCACAGCACACACACCACACAACACACAACCCACAACACACACCACACTGCACACAGCACTCAACACACACCACCCACCATACACCGCACAACGCATATCACACAACACACAGCACACATCACAGACCACACAACACACGGCACACATCTGGCAGCACACAGCACACAAGGCACAACACACCACACAGCACACACCACGACTCACACAACACACACCATACAGCACACATCACACGCCACACACCACACAACACACAGCACGCAGCACACACCGCAACACACACCACACACCACACAACACACCACACACCACACAACTGACAACACACATCGTGCCACAAAACACAACGCACAACTCATACCTCACAGCGCACAAGGCACAGCACACCGCACACACGACACAACACACAGCACACACAGCACACACCACACGCCACACATCACACACCACATTCCACAGCACAAGCCACACACCACACACACCGGTTTGTGAGTCAGTGGGGCTGCGGGGTGATCTCCTTGGTTTGGTACTGCGGGGTGGCCACCACACAGCATACAGCACAACACAGAACACACCACAGCACAGACACCACAACACACACCACACATCACACAACCCACACCACACACCACACATAACACAACACACACCACCCACCACACACCACACACCACACAAAACACAACCCACATCACACACAACACACACCACAACACCTAACACGCAACGCCACACAGCAGAACACACACGCCGCATCGCGCAACACACAACTCACAACACACACCACACACCACTCACCACACAACTCGCAACACACACAGCACACACCACACAGCGTACACGAAACAACACAACACAGGACACACATCACACGCACACATCGCACACTACACACCACACAACACACAGCACACACCACGCACCACACACAACACAACCACACGACACACCACACAACGCCCACAACACACATCATACACCGCACACCACACAGCACACCACAGACCACACACCACACACTACATACATTACACTACACGCAGCACACTCCACACTCCACACTCCACATACAACACACAAACCACAGCACACATTGCACACCACACATTACACAACCCCCAGCAACACCACCACATAAACCACACCACACAGCACACCACACACCACACACCACACACCACACAGCACACAACAGATACCACGCACGAACACCACACACCACACAACACCCAACACCCAACACACAGCATACAACACAACACACAACACACCACACGGCACACCACACCACACACAGCACACGCCGCACAGCACACACCGCGCAGCACACCACTCACCTCACACTGCACACACCACGCAACACACAACACACAACACACAACAGACAGCACACACACCACCCCATAACACGCAATACTCACCACACAACACACAGCACACAGCCACGCACCACACCACACAGCACACAGCACACAAGGCATACCATACAACACACACCACACAACAACCAGCACACAACGCACATCACACACAGCACACAGCACACACCACACAACACACAACACACGACGCACACCACACAACACACAACACACAACACACACCACACAGCACAAGACACAACACACGACAGACACCACGCACCACACCGAACATAACAACTATTACACAGCACACACCACACACCCCACAGCACACCATCATACACACAATACGCAGCACACAGCGCACAGCGCGCAACGCGCAACACACACCACACAACACACAGCACACACCAATCTGCGCACAACACACAACACACGCCACACAACACACCACACCCCACATACCACACAACAGACAGCACAGAACGCACAACACACAACGCACACCACACAGCTCACACCACACCTCACACACCACACCGCACACCACACACCACACGTCACACAACACACAACACACAGCACACAACACACACTACAACACACCACACACCATACACCATATATCGCGCCACACAAAAGATAAGGCACATCATGCCACAACACACAACGCACAACGCATAACACACAACGCACACCACACATCACACATCACACACGACACACCACACAGCACAAGCCACACACCACACACCGCACACCTCACAACACATACCACACACCACACACCACACACACCGTGCTGTGAGTCAGTGGGGCTGCGGGGTGATCTCACTGGTTTGGTACTGCGGGGTGGCCACCACACAACATACAGCACACACTACAACACCATTCTACACACAACACGTCACACAACCCACACCACACACCACACAGAACACAACGCACAACACACACCACACACCCACAACCCACAACACAACACACACACACACCACATACACAACACAACAAAGAACACGCAACACCACACATCACACAACACACACCGCGCAACACGCAGCACACAGCACACACCACACAGCACACGCCACACAGCGCACACCACACACAACACACAACACACAGGACACAACACACATAACGCACATCACAACACAAATTACACAGGACACACACCACACACAACGCACATCACAACACAAACCACACAGCACACACACCACACACCACACACCACACACCATACACAACTCGCAACACACAACACACAGCATACACCACACACCACACGGCACACCACACACCACACACCACAAACCACTCACAGCACACTACGCATTGCACACAGCACACCCCACACACCACACACAACACACAGCACACAGCACACAACACACACCACGCATTACAAAGCTCACATCGCACGACGCACAACACAACACTCAACACAACACAGAACCCACAACACTCACCACACACCACACACCACACACCACACACCACGCAGCACACAGCACATAACACACAACACACTGCGCACAACACCCACGACACACCACAACAAACAACACAACGCATTGCACACCACACCACACAACACAACGCCCGCATCACGCAACACCACGCCACACACAACACACTGCGCACAACACACAGCACACAGCACACAACACACACCGGATACCACGCAGCACACAGCACATAACACACAACACACCACACAACACCCACGACACACCACAACAAACAACACAACGCATTGCACACCACACCACACAACACAACGCCCGCATCACGCAACACCACGCCAAACACAACACACTGCGCACAACACACAGCACACAGCACACAACACACACCGGACATCACACAACACACGACACAACACGCAATACATAACACACAACACACAACACACAGCACACACCACACACCACACACAACACAATACACAGCATTCAACACATGCCGTACAACACACATCACACAACAAGCAGCACACAACGCACAACATACAATACACACCACGCAGCACACAACACACAACATCCAACACACAACACACAATGCACAACACACAACACACAACCCACAACACACACACCACACAGCACAACACACGACACACAACAGACAACATTCAACACACAACACACAACAAACAATACATAGCCCACACTACGCACCACACAACACACAACACACCATATTACGCACAACAAGCAGCACACAACGCACAACGCACAGCACACAGCACACAACATACAACACACTGCACATAACACACATCACACAACACACAACACACCCTACACCCCACAACACACACACACCATACAGCACACACAACACACAACACACAACACACACACCACATACCCCTCACCACACACCACACACCAAACAACAAACAGCACACACCACACCACACACCACACACACACCGTGCTGTCTTTTTCAATCCGAGGGTGTGCTTTGTCCATTCGCGGCCCCAGGGCACCGCATCTCCGGCAGTGCTTTTTCATGCCATATTCCATATGCCTCTTTGATCGCCCCAGGACCCGACAAGTTGCCACCAGAGGTCGAAATCGAAGACAACTATCGCGACTGACAAACATCGAGCCTCTGGGTTGGGTGCCTTGCTTGCCACGATCTCGCGGATCGGCAGAGCTCTGTAGGCCAACCATCGGCGGCGCGCGCAAGGTGGTGGCGCAGGGTCTTCTTAGAATGCCACGGGCCTTCTCGGAAGGCCCAGGAGGCTTCTGAGAAGGCTTCTGCGAAGTCAGGATGGCTTCTGCGAGCGCCCCTGGGCCCTCCTGGAAGCTCCGCCCGCTTTCTCAGAGACCGCCCCCTTCGCGCCCCCCCTTTCCGCGGACGACTTCGGTGCACTGGCGTCTCCCGAGGCGTCGTCGATCCTCGACCCTCAGGAGTGGTAAGGCGCTCAGTTTTTCGGCCCTTCGGGTCGGCAACCTGTGCACCCTGCCGCGTTGCGCTGGCGCGTGCAGGGAATCCCAGCAGTGTACGGTGCATGGGCGCTGGTCTCGTAGCCGTGTGTCCCAGGCCTCCCAGATGGGGCCAGAGCTGATGGGCTTGTTTTCCACCGCCACCGCCACCACAAGGTAGAGGGGGGAAGGAGGTGGAGGGTGAGGAAGAGGAGGAAGAAGAGGGGTAGGAGTATCCCCTCCCCCCTCCAACTTATGGTGGCGGTGGTGGAAAACAGGCCCATCAAGAGCACATGGGGTCAGAGGATCGCGCCGCACCGCCGATGCATCGGCGATGCGGCTCGATGTGGGGCCCGATCTTCTCCGCGGCGTCGCCGCCGAGGCATCGCCCATGGATGCCCCAGCGAGGCGGCGCGGGAGCCTCCGACCGCAGCCGCTCGGACCCCGGGTGCCGGGAGGCCTCCGAGTGCGCGCCGTCCATGCGAAGGGTCGGTGCGGGAGGGGGGGGCGGCGCGCGCGCGCCCTCGGCGCGCCCGGCAGGGGGGGGGGGGCGGGGGAGGCTGGTCGCGAACCTCCAGCTGCAGCGCAAGGACGACCAGACCTTCTCGTTCGGGCTCCACGGCGACGGCGGCGCGAACATGGCGCCGGCCCCGGATCCCTCTCAGTCATCGAGGTGCTCGCAGGATGTGGTAGTGAACGGGTTTCCGTTCGGAAAGAGGTGTCCCAGATTTCGTGAACAGATTTTCGCGTTTGGCAAATTGGCTTCTGCGTATCATGCTGCCCCGTGTTGTGATTAGCAGCTGGAGTAGCTTCGTGAATCCTGTGATCGCCTGTCTACACCGTAGTGCTTCACAATACTGGCTTGTATCATACGCATTCGGAGGTGGATAGACCTCCTACCCTGACACGTCGATTAAGGAATTGGCCGTTTTCGGTTCGCGAGAGGGCGTCGCGGCTGTCATTTTTGCGGGTCCAGGTCCGTCGGTTTCGGTCCCAGGCCGTTTTCATTAAGGGGAGGTTTACTAAAGGGAGGTTTGTCCGCCGCCGACGCATGCATTCGCTACATCGCTTCCTATGTTGGCCGGTGGCTCAGGGGCAGCGTCAGGGGTGGGATGCGCAGGCTCCGGGGGACGCGTCGGCCCCCGGCGTGTTGGGGCCCTCTTCGCCCGTTTTGGGGGCTCTGTTCGGCGGCGTCGCCGCCCCAGAGGCCCATGCGGCACACCGGGGCAGCGCCCAAGAGCGCCTGGGAAACAGGCGGTCTGGTGCCTCAAGAACCCTGCAAACCCTTTATCTCTCAGAGTCGCAGGAGCCCTCCACTCAGAACAGGAAAAAACACATACACACAAAGGGTTTTATTGGTTTTACGCCGGAAGGGGGCGTCGTTGAGAGGGTGCCTGGCACGGATGCGGGGATCGGTGTGGCGTCGGTCCCAAGAAGTCCCTTCGATAGGCAGCACGTAGTGGACCCCTACGTGCTGCAGGCTTGGTGGCGGATAGTCGAGACGCTGAAATAAGGACCATGTTGGGCTTGGGCGGGGCTCTGGTTTCTGGACTGCGCCTTAGATCTGCATCGGGAAATTGATGCAGTGGAGGCCCATGCCAAGAGACACCCGGCTTGCCTCCAGGGTGCCCTGGGTTTTCTTGGGTTCCAATATTTTTTCTATGAAAAGTGTGACGTTCCCACCCCAAAAATCACTGGACGTCCTCGGGTCTCAGGGTTGGATTAAGTCGGGCCTGTCCCTCTACAGGAAGAATATTCAAACATAGGAATAACATAGTCTGGGGACGATGTTTTGACTATTTTTGAGAATGCCTGGAGCATGTTTGTAGTATTTTTGTTTTTTCGTCCAAAACCCGCCTGTAGGGGGACATGCCCGACCCAAGGGTTGGGTTTCTTGTGGAAGGCTTCTTGTGGACTAGCCTCCACTGTATGTGGCCGAGGCTCCTCGTGGCCAAAAAGGGCCATTCGTTCCTTATGCAGCGTTTCGTGTGGGGGCGCGACGGCTGGAGTGCAGGGGGGCAGGAGGAGGAGGAGGAGGAGGAGGAGGAGGAGGAGGAGGAGGAGGAGGAGGAGGAGGTGTTGGAGGAGGAGGTGGTGGAGGAGGGGGAGGAGGATGAGGAGGAGGAGGAGGAGGAGGTGGTGGTGGTGGTGGTGGAGGACGAGGACGAGGCGGAGGACGAGGTGGAGGAGGAGGAAGTAGAGGAGGCGGAGGAGGAGGAGGAGGAGGAGGAGGAGGAGGAGGAGGAGGAGGAGGAGGACAGGGCGCGGTGGCGCCCGAGGCCAATGGTGGAGGCCTGTGTTGACCAGCTCGGGCTCCCGCCCTCCTCTTCTCCCTCCTGCTCCCCCCCTCCGTTCCCTCCCGTTTCCTCCCCGTTCCTCCTCCCCCGTGCCCCTCGTCCCCCTTCCCCCGCTCCTCCTCTCCACCCTGCTCCTCCCCCCCAGTTCCCTGCTCCCCCCCTTCTCCATCCTCCGAGGCCATGGTGGAGCTGCCTCCGTCCCTCCTGCCTCCTCCTCCGCCCTCCGAGGCCACGGTGAAGGCCACTCCTGCCCAGACGTCGGGCGCTCCATTTTTTTTTCGAGGCACGGCGCTCCGACATTTCGAGGCGCGGGCCCCCGACCTCTCGACCATTGACCCAGGTCCGGTTTGACATGCCGAGTCGTGTCAGGGCGGTCCTGGGGCCCAGGACCTGTTCCCAGAGGCCGAGAACGGGAGAAACCCGGCCGTCCCCAGTTCTTCGAGACGCCGCATGTTTGGGCCTATCTTCAAATTGGGCCTGTCCCTCTACTGCATTAAGATTCAAAAGCAGTCAAAAAACAGTATGCGGCAATTTTGTGTTTTCATTTTTTTTGGAGTAGTTTTGGAGTGTACAGTGTTTTCAATTTTTCGTCCACACTCCCCCTCTAGGGGGACATGCCCGACCTAACCCTATCCTGTTCCCTCCTCCGTCCTCCGAGGCCATGGTGGAGGCCTGGGTGGACTCGTTCGACTTCAACATGCCCCAGTCCACGATGGACACCTGGATCAAGGGGCTCTCCGAGGCGCGCAGTCGCCCTTCTGGGGACGGCCTCCTCTCCCAGGATGGAGGTGGGGAGGAGGGATCGAGAGGCCGGGGGGGGGGACTTCGAGGAGTAATATCCGCAATCGAAGGCGTAATGGCGGCAAGGCGGAGAAAGGTGTGCATGCGGAGAGCACCGAGAAGGCGGAAGGTAATGCTACTGCAACTGTGGGCGACACGAATCGCACCAACGTAACGACTACAAGCAGCAATGGAACAACCGTCACGCACACTTGCACGCTAGAAGAACTGCCGTCGTAGCAATACCTTAAACTGCATCTAAACAATAATAGTACGATTGATATTAAGTGTAGTCAGAATACAGGGCCGTTTTTAATACATGCTCCGCGTGCGGATCATGTATAAACCATGCAGGGATTTAGTGTTAACAACAACGATGAGTTCATGTATAACTTCGTTCATAACCTGATCATGTACAAACAAATCCAATACTTTTAAACATCCTATGTGTTAAAAACTGCCCTGTAGGTCTGTGCGGGCCGCTTGGAGCCGCGCCGGACCCGCCGAGGAGCGCGCCCAGGGCTGGAGGGGGGGGGGCCCTCGCCCTCGTCGCGCCGCGAGCGAGAAGCGCGCCGCCACTCGGGAGGCCGAGGCGCCAGCGCTCCGGGGGCCTGGCCGGGAGTTCTCGTTTTCCTCCGATCCTCGGGGGCGTCCGGGAGGAGGAAGAGGAGGAGGAGGAGGTGGAGGAGGAGGAGGAGGAGGAGGTGGAAGAGGAAGAGGAGGAGAGGAGGAGGAGAGGGAGAGGAGGAGGAGGAGGGAGGAGGTGGAGGAGCATGGGAGGAAAGGAGGAGGAGGGAGGAGGAGGAGGAGGAGAGAAGGAGAACGAGGAACGAGGAGGAGGAGGAGGAGGAGGGGGGAGGAGGGAGGAGGGGAGGAGGAGGAGAGAGGAGGAGGAGGAGGAGGAGGAGGAGGAGGAGGAGGAGGAGGAGGAGGCCCCCCAGTCGCCCATCCCTCGCCGATGGGGGCTCGGGGGCCCCAGCATGCCTGGAGGAGCGCGGGGGCATTCCCATCGGGGGCCTTTATCTCGCCGATCCATCGGCGATGCATCGCCGATGCCAAGTCACTGTTCGACGCCAGGTCACTGCTCCGCCCCGCCCCCCAGGAGAAGTTCTTCCCTTTTCGGCTCACATCAGGGCGGCTGCAAGCTCGGGGGCGTGCCAGAAGGGGATGATGATTGGGGCAGGATATCGGGGTGGGGACCATGAGACTCTCCATGGATTTCATGGCCCCTTCTTCTTGCTTCCGTGCGTCCCCTGGCCCCCCCCCCCCCGCCCCCCTGGGCCGCGCACTTGCCTCGGGCTATGACCTGCGAGCCCCCCTCTTTGGACGCACCCCTCCTGGACGCCCCCCTCCTGGACGCCCTTGAGCGCCTGCGCCGGGTGGCTGGGCGCCGCAGATGCTTATTCTGGGGGCCCTGGGGTCCACCTATAGCAGATCCTCACCCTCCTGATTTTACTTCTCGTCATCCTCGCTCTCCTGGCCCTCCTCCTCCACATCCTCACCCTCCTGCTCCACGCTCGCCTGATCCTCACCCGCGTGACCTACACTCTCCTGATGACCAAAGTGTGGATGCAGCGTTCCACCCAGTTCGACTCGAGTGTTCGACTCGGTTCGACGGACGTCTGACGCAGCACCGGCGCACGAGCGGAGCGAGAGGCTCTAGGGCAGGGCCCTCCGGAGCGAGCATCTGAGGCGCCAGCTCTCCCGTCCGCGAGAGCTGGCGCCCACCCCCTCAACTCGGAGCTTGCCCCCCGCGCAGCCTCCGCGAGCCTCGGGGGCCCCCCAACGGTGCGGTGGCCACTCCGTGTGGTGAGTCTGTCCAGGCCTCTCAAGTTGGGGGAATGGGGAGCGACACCAACACCACCAGGGGGCCACCTCCAGCGAGGAGGTCCACGATGCCTCTCCGAGCTGAGGATGGGGGATGTCTCGAGCGAGAGGGGGGACCACAGCACCAGGTGGCGTTGGTGGCGGTTCTCTATATTCCTACTCAAATTTGGGTCCGAGCAGACGGGGTCCGATGGTCGCGCCGCATCGCCGATGCATCGGCGGTGCATCGGCGACGTAGGTGCGGAGGACATTAGGCTCCAAGTCGAGCCGCATCCTCGATGCATCGGCGATGCGGCGCGGTCCTCCGGCCCCACCTGCTCGGACCCATGCTGGGAGGCCTCCAGTCAGTGGGGATTCGGGGTGAGTGTCGTTCTCCGAGGACGTCTCGGGCGACCGGCCGTCCCAGGTTCCAAAGCCGTGCGGTGAGGCAGTGTGCGGCGACGAACGGTGCGGAATGTCGGGGGCACTATACTCAGGAGGGGAAAAAACACACAGACACAAGTAATCGTCGATTCCACAGAAAGTATGGGAAGATGTGGGAAGTGGGGGGGGGGGAGACGAGATCCCAGAGAATATGGGGAAATATGGGGAATCCTGTTTTTTGTGTCTGCTTATTGGTGTGTCCCAGGGCCCCTCCGTGCACAGTCTTGCAGCTCGAGCTAGGGGCGTCGAGCCCTGAGGCCTGGGCGTCGCAGTTTTCTCGCGCCGGGCGTTCGCGCCCGCACTCTCGGGCCCCAGGGTCGTGGGGCAGGTCGATGCGGCTCGAGAAGTGCCAGCAGGCGGCTGCAGGAAGTTTTAGGTCGGGCCTGTCCCCCTACAAGGGGATCTTCGACGAAAAACAAACAATACCCCAAAAATGCCGAAAACAGTCTGGGGACTATTTTTTGGGCATTTTTTTGCCCGTTTGGAATATTTTTGGGGGTATTCTTATTTTTTCGTCGAAGATCCCCTGTATGGGGGACACGCCCGACATAAAGGAAGTTGGGGGCCTGCGGCTTCGGTCATGGTCTCTCACGGCGATGCCCGTTCCGCGTCGTCGTGGGATCTCATGGAGGAGGGGGGTGAGGGTCGGGGGCGGAAAAGAGTGGGGTAATGACTAGGGGGGGGTGGATATCATGGTGGGGGGCATGATATTTCCTCAGATTTCATGGCGCCTCTTCTTATTTCATTACGTCCCTGGCCCCCCCGCTGGGCCGCGCACATGCCGCCGGTCATGATTTGCACCCCCCCTCTTGGACACCCCCCTCTTGGCCGCCCCCGAGGTGGGGGCTCTTGGGGTGAATATCATGGCCCGTGCCATTCGCGTCTCACCGCTCACGTGCCTCGGGCCACGATGTACTAACCGCCCTCTGCCAGGCCTCCCTGTCGGGCGCACCCGATCATTTAGGATGCAACCCATGGGATGTTCGTTTTCGCATCGGCGGCGCTGGTGCATCCGAGGCCGGAAGCCGACCAAAATCCGGCCTCGTCCGGCTGAATTCCGCTTAATCAGACCAGATTTGGGGCTAATCGGGGCTGATCTGCATCAGTGGCCCCTCAGTCAGGCTTGATGCACCTTACCCGTTCTCACGAAGACCTTTCATGAGTTGCTTCCTGGGGATCCGGGCGCAGGGATCGCCCAGCGGATGGCCCCCCTCCAGGGGCTGCAGCGCCCGGCTGTGAAGGTCCAGCGGCGTGTCGCGCCCTGCGCGCCGCGGAGATGCCGAGACAAAGCGTGCGCCTCGGACGCCCGCGGCCGAGAGCTCAGGCGAGGAAGCGGTACCGATGCCCAGTGGGGAGGACTATTCGTATACACGCATATATATATATATATATATATGAATATATATATATATATATATGTATGTATGTATATATATATAACGGATGTAGATAAGTGTATATGTACGTATGCTTGTATGTATGTATATACACATGTATATGAAACCCTCTGGGTCACAACGCAAGTTATGCCCCCTCCCCCCTCCCCTGCCCCCCCCCTCCCCCCCATGACGTAACGCTCCGCCATTCAGTGCGTCCCCAGGACTGCCGCAGTGCGTCCGGCACCACAGTTGGGGGGGGCGTTACGTTATGGCCCCCGTCCCCCCACCCCTTCCCCTGCCATAACGACCGTTATCGCCGCGAATTAAACAATGCGCTCGAGGGCGGCGAGCCCTCTCAGAAGGCTCAGAAGGCCTCCCGCCGTCTGAGAAGCTCTCCGATTACCCTCCGAAGATGCAGGCGGCTCCACAGAAGGCCAGAGGGCTTCTGAGAAGCCCCGCCGCCTGCTGAGAAGGGCTGCCCCTCTCACTTCCCCCCTGGGCTCGCCGCTGATCGTCGCCACGGCTGGATTCGCCTCGGAGCGCTGATCAGAACGTGCCCCTGGAGAGCTCTCGGGAGCACCTGTGCCGGTACCGTCTTGTCCCACCAGGAGCTCGCTAGCGCAAGACCCTCCTCCCAGCCTTCCTAGGCAGCGCCTCCGTCGTCGCCCTCGGCGTCGCCACCAGCGCGCCTGAGGAGGGGGTCTGTCGCCGACGGTGGTCTGCTGTCCGCGGTGCCCCATTTTAGAGAGCTTCGAGACGGCCTGCTGCCCTCCCACCTATCGGCCTCTGGGGGTCCGGTTTCTCTGGCCCCGGGGCTCCGGGCACCGCTTCGAGTGCAGCAAACAAAAACGTATCTGCAGTCAAGCGCTGCAGTGGCAACGATGCTCGGCTGTTTCTCATGTGCGGTGGGGCCGAGCACCGTCGCTATTGCCGCGTACTTGTTGTGTGCTTCTTTGATTTTGCAAATGCAGCCCTGGCAACGGTATGGTGGCAGCGTGTATGATCGGCCGCCCTCTGCGGACATCCCCTCCTGCCCAGACCTCCCAAGCTGTGCTTCATTCGGCGCGCGGCCTTTTGTTCTGCTATCTGAGCATTATTACCCTTCCTTCTCTTATTGGTACGTTTCTTATCCGACTTCGGGCTCTGCGGGCGCTCCTGGGCCCTGGGGCTATAGAAATCAATCCGGTGCAGAAGAGCCGCTCCCAGAAGAGGCCTCGAGAGGTCCGTGGCTCACGTATTGGAAACACCACGTCGGAGTTCTGAGTATGCTCCCCTCTCCCCGTATTCCACACCGCTGCCTTTCCTTCCATCCATCCCTTCATCCCTTCACTCCTGTTCCTCTCTCCCTCTCAGGAGGGCTCCCCTTGGCTTTCTGCACCCCTCGGGAGGGGGACCATGTTTATGTGATTCAAATGTGGCTGTCATCCAGACTGTTGGCTTGGACTCTCACCTTGCTGCTGCCTTTCAGACCGAGAACTGGTTCGGCAGCCTGGGCTGGAAGAGCAACTACGGCCAGCTGAAGAAGCTGAAGGCCCCTTCAGCCACCGCCCTCCTGCTATCAGCACAGAGTGGCCTCACGAATGCCTTCAGCAATGCTGCAACGATTGCTTTTACGCAAGAGGCTTGCGCCATTCCGCCGGCCCCTCAGAGGAGGCCTCTTGTGAGCGTCCTGGGAGCTGTTTGTGGGCATTGCAGGGCCACCTGGAGACAGTTTTGAAGGGTCTTGGGGCCTGTCTTGGGGCCCGTTTGGGGGTCTCGTGGGGGCCTCTTGGGGCTTCTTTGGGGGCTTCTTTGGGGGCTTCTCTTGCGCCGCTTGGGGGCTCCTTGGTGCCCTTGGGGGGCATCTTTGGGGCCTCCCGTTCTCCCTCTTTGCCTCTCTTGGGGCCCTGCTGGGGCGATCTTTGGCCGTCTTGGGGCCCTCTTTGGGCTGTCTTGGGACCCTCTTGGGACGTCCTGGAGCTCTCGTGGGGGTCTCTAGGCGCTTGGGCAGTTTTGGGACGGTCCATTGGGCCTCTTGGGCCGTCTTCGAGCGTCGGAGAACAGAGACGGCGAGACCGCCCACGTCCTTCAAACACCTGAGGAAAACAATGGATTTTTGCCTGTCGGGGCCCTCTTGTCCTGGGGCGACTCGAAGGCGTCTTGGGGCGTCTTGGAGCCATCCTAAGCGTCTTGGGCCAATCGTTCAGCGATTCGGGGCGGTCCTGGAACGTCTTCTTGGGCCGTCTGTAGGCCCTCTTGGGCCGTCTTGGGCGCCTCTTGGGCCGTCTCGGGGCGCCCTCAGGCCGTCTTGGGGCCCTCTTGGAGGCCTTTTGGGGGACCTCTTTGGCCGTCTTGGAGCGTCGGAAAGCAGACAAGGCGAGAACGCCCACATCCTTCAAACGCCCCAGACAAACGATTTGTGCCTCTCGGGGCCCTCTTGGGAAGGCGCTTGCGGCGCCTCGAAGGCGTCTTGGGGCGTCTTGGGGCCATCATAAGTGTCTGGGGCCAATCGTTCCGCGATTCGGGACGGTCTTGGAACGTCTTTGAGGCCACGGAAGGCAGATTTGGAAGCTCCAGGGTCTTCGGGAGTGCGCCGGCGAGCTCGGATACCCCCCCCCCTCAAATTAGATTTTGGACCCTGGGGGAGGGGGGGGGGGAAGGAGAGGGGGACAGCCAATCATCTCACACGCCGTGTCCCCCCCGGCAAGCGGGGGTCGGCGGACATCCGTGTGCAGCAAAGGTGCTGAAGCACAGTCGCAAGATGGTTGCATGCTGCAGCCTCCATGCCCCAACAAAAAGCCTGATCAACGTGGGCCTAGTGGAGCTGTCGCAGCGGTTCGCTCGATAGCCTCACTGCGAAGCAGCAGTCTGCACTGCACAGGTGCAGAGTCTGTCTTTGCCCTCTCCGTCGGCTCGTGCTCAGGAGCCACGAGCCGCCAGCTCACGATGGCCTCATCCCTCTCAAGGCCCCGCGTCGGCCTTTGAAACTTCACCGGTGGCGCGCTTAGTGGGAAGACAGGGGGGGCGGGCCTTCTCAGAAGGCGGCGGGGCTTCGGAGGAGGCTTACAGTGGGGGCCCCTGCCAAGAGACGCCCTGCTGGCCTCCAGGGTGTCCTGGGTTTCTTGGGCTTCGATGGTTTCGCATATGGGGAGCGTGACGTGCCCACGCCAAAAATAGAGGGACGCCCCAGGGCTTCTGTCGGGGGGTTGGGCTTCTTGTGGACGCCAACAAATAGGGGTTGTTCTTCTTGTGGAAGGTTTCTTGTGGAAGGTTTCTTGGGACGCCAAGAATAGGGGTTGGGCTTCTTGTGGAAGGTTTCCTGTGGACTGGCCGCCGCTGCACAGAGGCTCCTCCGAAGGCCAGAGGCCTTCCCGTCCTTCTGCGCGGGCCCGCCCCCTCCGCCCTTTCCCCGGGGCGCGCCGCGGAGCCCCTGCCTCTCGGGGCAGCCACGCCTGGCTGCCGCCTCTGCCTTCGGCTTTGCGAGCCCCTCTGTTCTCACCGCTCGTGCTTGCATGGCAGCCGGAGGGTGCCTCGCAATCGGTCGCTGGTAGCTCTTGCACGGCGGTGATCGTTTTTCTATGCATTGTTGTGCCGATCGGCGCGGGCCCTCGAGCCCCCCATCCCCCCGCCCCATGGAGTAGATGTTGGTTGCTTTTGGCGCCTGTTTCGAGCAGGTGGGGTCTCCCCCACAGGACGCACTGCTGCAAACAGTGGCATTAGACAGCGGTCTGGAGCCAGACCCCCCCCTCCCCTCCCTTTCCGCCCAATGTCGAAACGCCGAATAAAAAGAACGCTCACCGGTGGCCTCAGCGCTCCTTTGTAGCTGAACAGTGGCCTTCGGCCAATCCCGCCACCGCGCCTGGGTCGTGGGTCAGGGTCTCAGGGCTACGGGGGACAGCGGCGAAGTATCCGAATCAGTGTTCCTGACCTATGGGTCTGTTTTTGTACCAGAAGTAATAGCTGGGAGCACTCTTGTGACAGCATGGCTGTGGACTGAAAGGGGCGTATGTCCGGTTCAGATCATGTGTGCGCTGGTGCAGGCCGATAACTGTATTGGCTCAGAGTGAGCATACGTGCAGCGGGCATTGGAGAAGCTTCACGGCCGGTTCTGCCGACCTTGAAAGAGGAATTGGAGAAAAGCCCCAAGAAGGTCGCGGGCTCATCAAGTTTCGTTGGGGAGGTCTCCTGAAAGGCCTGTTAGATGTAGTTCTGAGGTCTCTTGGAGCCTTGTGGGAGCGTGGACTCCAGAGGGGGCCTCCTGGCGGTCTTGGAGGCTATCTTCAGAGGAATGGCTCGAAATTAGAGTTCGGGTTCCCCTCTGGAGCCCCTCCGGGGGCCTCTTGGGAGCATCCGGGGCCCTCTTGGGTGGCTTCTTGTGCGGTCTTTGGGTAATTTGGGCTGTTCGGGGGTCCTCTTCGGGGCCTCTTGGGGGCTGTTTTGATGCGGACTTGGGGGACCGTCTCGGGCGGTCGGGAGCTAGTGAGAGCGAGAAGGCGTACATTCTTCAACATCTGGAAGGAACCATAGATATGATTGCATTTGGGACCTCTCTTGGGGGTCCTCTTGGATCCCTCTTGGGGCGTCTTGGGGATTCCCTGGACCGTCTTGAGGCATCTGGGACCATGTTGGAGCGCTCTTGGACCGTTGCATGCCCCTCCTGGGCCATCTTGGACCTGAGCTGCCGAGGAAGGATCCAGCTTACTACAATACGACCCGACAGAGAAGGGGGGGGCCTTATTCTGACCCAGACCTCGCCCCCCCCCCTCGGGAATCCCCCCTATGACCCCCCCCCGCCCGTGGCGGGGAAGGGATCAAAGGGAGGGGGCTTCCTTGCGAGTCCACGACGTCATCGATTGCGACCTGGCTCGATTCACCGCTGGTTGGCGAGCCTGGAGAGCCAACAGTGGCCACTGGGAACGGAGGACAAGGTTCGAGTGAACGGTGCCTCGCGACCGCCCTGGGACGAGGAGCCCAGAATTCCCCCTCACACTTCGACACGATCACCGAGTCGTGGGACCTGGACCCCAAGCCCAAGCCCTGGGCTCAGCAGCTCCTAGAGGACTTCCGACACGCTCACAGCCACCGCGAGGACTTCTCCGAGATGGTCCCCTCGGAGTACCCCCTGTTGAAGTTGCTTTGCCTCCAGATTACAAGCACTGGGCCTACTTGGACTTCTCCGTCCTGAGGGCCAAGACCTACTCGGCATCTTTCGCACCCCCTGAGTACCATCCTGAGGCACCAGAGGTTCCCAGCGTGGAGGAGGAGACGGCCCAGGAGGGCCAGTTTGTCTGCAACATGGTGCTCAGCACGGGCGCCAAGTGCAACGTAATTACGGCTCTGCACTATGGAGGCGCTCGTTCTCCACGTTGGTCGGGCACACAGAGTCCGAAACGAAGCCGCGATGCTGACCATTACCAACCAATCCTTCACATCCATTCAAGTACTGAGTACGAAAAGGAATGCCGAAAGACAGTCGGGGGTGGAGCTCCTTCTTGGCGTAGGAAGTGGTGATCCCAAACGAACTGGTTTATCCTGTATATGCACCCATTCGGCTCAAACTCTATTCGACCTGCAGGTGCACATTCGCTCACATTGCTCCCTTCCACCACCCGAAGTACGCCAACGTCGGAACGACCATGTCTGGAGAGGTCGCTGCTGCGGCGGCGCCAATCGACACGATGGGCCTCCCGGTTCTCATCGAACTGGGAAAAAGATGAGCAGAGCCGTCGAGTGGCGAGGGCAGCTGGGTCAAACAACCAACGGGAGTGGCCGAAGCAGCAGACGACGCGGAGGACACGCGGATGGCCGTGGAGGGTGCGCTGAAGGCAAAAGACGTTGCACAGGCGCTGAACCTCCTCATAGACAAGGTTTCTGCATGCACTTTTAGCTGCTTCGCGACATGGCCGCTGTGATCTGGGTATGCGTGTTGGTTCCGACTGTCGCCCCAATCATCGTGGATTCCAGGGCCGCTGGAAAGCTCTACTCGGAGGCGGTTGGGCTCCCAAGCGTGAAGGACAAGCTGGGACCGCCACACTTAACACAGCGCGCGCAGGGTTCAAGTGCATAGTGGAAGCGGAGTCGAGCCAGAAGATCGGAGGGGGAGGCCCTCGGGGTGGTGCGCCTATTCTACAACAAGTTTATACTACGTGGACAGCAACACGAGCGAGGCTTGTCGATCCAACACTTCAGATGCAAGGGGTGCTACAACGAGGGCATGGCCAGAGTTCAGTTCGCCATCGCGGACGGGGGTGCAGGTTCCGAGCGACACAACGAGCCGCACACGCACTCCAAGCTGATGGTCGAGAAAGCGACCGTGGTGCTACTCAAAGGCATGGGCGGCGTTCTCAAACAGGGCATTGCACCTCAGGGCCATCTCCGACACCTGGCTCAGAAGATGCTGCACAGGCACAAACTCGGGGGCAAGAGCAAGGGGAAAGGCAAGAACCTGTGAGTGGGGACTGGACGGTCAGGCTCGACGCTCTACGGGCACGCGTGGCCACTCGGGAGCGAGCATATCGTACATCGGAGTTTCTTCATGCAGGGGCTTACCGGTGGCTTCTGGGATGGCTTTACGATTCGCTGACTGGGCTAGTTCTTGGCATTCGATCGCAAATCCCAGCGTGCCTTTGCGGTTGCCGGGCTCACGTCGCCAAAGTTTTTGCTCGACGGGCTCTCATGCTTGCCATGGGCCCGCATGTGTTTCAGTGGTGGGCGTTGGGCTCACCCGATGGGTCGGGCCGCCCACCTACCTCTCCCGATGCCGTATTGTGCATGGATATGGCAGCTGCCGTTTTCCAAGCTTGGCCAGGTGACATCCTTTCTCGCGGAGATCGTGGCTCTGGCGTGTAACCCCCCCGCGCTCGAGCTTCTCGCCGCTCTGGGGCATGGTGGTGTTCAGCTCGGGGTTCGGCGCCACGCTGTCGTATTTCCAGGTCGCCTGAGGGTCCTCAGGCTGCAGCTCGTTTGTAGCAAGAAAGCGCGTGCCCGCTGCCGTGTAAGACGTAACTACCCAGTCTTTTGTGCCAGGTTTCAGTTTTTTTTTTCGGGCTGGGCGGACGCCCAGGAAGCCAGCCTGGCACCAGCCGTGCCGTGAGGCATCGGCCTCCAGGAGCCAGTGGGGCGTTCCCCCCAGCTCGCGAGCGACACAGATTGTTGCGAACAGCCCCCCGGGACCTTGATGAGTGCCGCACGGCGCGCGTTACCAGCAACTTCGTATAGTAGAAATGCGATCGTCCGGAGTAGCAGTTGCACGCGTATCACACGGCGCGTATAGCTGCATATCCCCCCCCCCACGCGCAAGGCCGAGTCCTACCCTATCGTACCGTATCCTATCCTATCCTTTCCTATCCTATATTATCCTCCTCCTTACGCACCGACAGGGTCGGATGATTTCTGCACTTGCGTCTGGTCGTGTGGACCGTGCCGGCGCCGTCGAAGTTGCCGTTTCAGAGCCCTCTCGGTGTCTTGGGATTTTGACTCCTCGCGCATCCACACCGAACCATCCAGAACCGACGCCCAGACGGTCGCACGCAGTTTGTCCCTGCCGCGTATATATTCTCACTGTTTACCTTCGCGTGCGCCATTCCGACCAGGTAACACTCAACATCTCCATGTCCGGGGACATCAGGACACCCGGGCAGTGAGCAGGGGCTTAGAACCTGCAAGGAACGGAGCTGGCACAGCTGAGGGGGAGGCAATTGGCGGGAGGAGAGATTTGAATGTGGCGAAGAAGTGGGGACATGCAAGAATGCGACTTGAGAAAGTGAACGAGGGAGTCGGGAGATGGAAGAGGAGGAGGAGGAAGAGGTGGAGGAGGAGGAGCAGGATGGAGGCTTGACTTGTTTTGCATTGTATTGCACAGCGTTGCTTCGTATTTCATGTGCCCTGCCTTGTTTCCCATGTTGCATCTGTCCACACTGTTCTTCTTTGACATGCACTGTTGTGCATTGCCTTGCAATTGTTGACTTTCATATATCCTTGCAATGCTCTGCGGTGTGTTGCATTGTGTTACGCTGCCACTGTACATGCTCTCGACAGCACATCATTGCTCGCGTTGCTCTCACTGGTTAGCATCGTTTCGCATTGAATCGGTGTTACGCTGCATGGGGCCATCCGTGTTGGTAATACGTCTTTGTTCGGTCCGCGGTATGACCACTTATTGTATACATGGTCTAGTCATTTGCGTGTTCGTTCATGCGTACAGCTTTGGACATGTCAAGGGCGGGATCTTGCTAGAACTTGAGGACGCGCGAAGCACGCAAGATGGTTCTCGTGTACATGTGAATAGAAGGGGGCGGTGAGGAGAAAGAGAAAACGGGGAACAGAAAGAGGAGGAGGAGGAAGAGGAGGAGGACCAGTGTAAACCCAACAGTCATCAGCGATGTTGGAATCAACCCTCCTTCCAAGCTCCCTCTTCGTAGGCCCCTGTAAAGGTTCCTTTCCACAGGGAACAGCCTCGTAAAACAACCGTTTGAAGACCCTGAAGCATGCTAAAACACGGTTCTCGGGATTCCAAATTGATGGACCAACCTGACTGTTGCGTTTTGGCGATCCTGAATCCATTCCTGGGACTTCAACACTGCGAATCGACGTAACTATTCCACTCTCGTATCCCTGAATTCTCCTCCTCCATTCTGCATAATAACTCTTCCCTGTCGCATCCCGCAGCGAAATGTTAGGAATGGCCGGGTGGTTTGCCGGAGATATCCTCGCCATTCATGTCCCTGAAGCAACAGTTTCACAGATAGGGCGGGTCGTTTTCAAAATGTGGCTCTCGCCTCGGCGCCGCGCACATTCGTTTTCAACATTGGCAAGAGTTTCACGGATTGAGGGCGGTTCCTTCTCAAAATGTGGTTCTCGCGTTAGTGCCGCGCACACTCGATTTCAAGTGTGCAAGAATTTCACGGATGGAGGGCGGTTCCTTTTCAAAATGTGGCTCTCGCCTCAGCACCGCGCACATTCTTTTTTAACATGTGTACGATTTTCACGGTTTGAGGCGGTTGTGTTTCTGAATGTGGCTCTCGTCTTAGCGCGGCACAAATCCGTTTCGGAGTAGGAGGAGGAGGAGGAGAAGGAGGAGGATTTGGAGGAGGAGGAGGAGGAGGAGGATGACGACGACGACGACGACGGCGACGAGGCCGGCGCGGATGAAGGGTCCGAGGGGTTTACACCCAACGGCGCGCGCGCTCGAACATGGGCAGGCTCCGAAGCTCGACGGCGGCTTGCGCGCTCGCACCTGGGCTGTCGGGTTGACGGCGGCGGGACGACCTCGCTGCGGTCGAGGCGGCAGTTTGGCTGCGGGAGGCCTGAACACTGGGCACGAGGAGACCCGTCGGCATGTTTGTTTCAATCCGCGGTCCCAGATGTCCCGACCGCTTTCCCTGGGGGGGCCTTTCAGTCCTGGGTCCCGTTTTGAGAGTCCCGGGGCCCGATACTCCATATGCCTAATTGATCGACCCACCCTTAAAAAAACGCCCCCCCCTCGAAATGCGACCTAATATTCGGGACCCCCCTCTTCGACATGGCGCCTTACTATTCCGGACCCCCTCAGCACAATAGCATCGTCGGCGCGGGCACGCCAGTGGATGTGTTGACACCGATGCGATTCTCAGCATACCACGCCAGAGGATTTATGAACACCCAGGCGGTTGCATTTGAAGCGCAAATTGTTCCTCACCATTGCGGGCAACATATTCCTCAGGTTCCGCGGAGCGACCCTCTTGCAGCATACCACGCCGGAGGATTTATTAACACCCAGGCGGTTGCATTTGAAGCACAAATTATTCCTCACCATTGCGGGCACACCAGAGGATTTGTTAAGCGCCGTCGCCGTCGCGATGCACATCGCCATTGCATTGCTATCGCCGACATTGTTGATGCCAGTAATGATAATGCGGGAAAGGATGATGATGATGATGATGATGATGATGATGATGATGATGATGATGATGATGATGATGATGATGATGATGATGATGATGATGATGATGATGATGATGATGATGATGATGATGATGATGATGATGATGATGATGATGATGATGATGATGCTGATGCTGATGCTGATGCTGATGCTGATGCTGCTGATGCTGCTGATGATGCTGCTGATGATGATGCTGATGCTGATGCTGATGCTGCTGATGCTGATGCTGATGCTGATGATGATGATGATGATGATGATGATGATGATGATGATGATGATGATGATGATGCTGATGCTGATGCTGCTGGTGTTGATGATGATGATGCTGATGATGGTGGTGGTGGTGGTGGTGATGATCATGATGCTGATCTGCATCCAAAGCGGCGAGTTCCAGAAGGCCTTTCGTAATCATAAGGTTGATGTTTACGAGGCTGATAACAATTATGCTTATCAAAGGGCTGAGCAACGATATCCGAGAGGCGCCTTAATAAATCGGACCCCTCCCTAAGCTCCGATTCTCAGAAAGCGCCCTAATAAACCAGACCCCCCCCCCGTTACGAAAAAGGCGCCTTGAGAAACGGGGCCCAGGGGCCGAGACCGAGGAAGCGCGCCTGGACTGCAGGGAACCTCATCGGTGCAGACCTGTGTGCCCCCGACGCGCGAGGGCGACGACGGGGGTGGAACGGCCGCGGCCCCTGGTGCACCCCTCGCAGATGCAGGCCTCCCGGGTGGGGGCAGCGCGGGCGGGGCCGGAGGACCGCGCCGCATCGCCGAGGCATCGACGATGCGGCTCGGTGTGCAGCCCGGTTTCTCCGCGCCGGCGTGGCCGATGCAGCGCCGGTGTGGCCGATGCACCGCCGACGGCCCTGCCTCCGCAGCAGAGGAAGAGGGGGCGGGGGGCGCCGGCGGAGGGAGGGCCGAGGCTGGGGCGGCGGAGCAGACGAGAAGGGTTCCGAGTGGAGGGCTTCTTCGAAAGGCCCAGGCGACCCGTCCTCCTCCCTCCTCCTCCTCCTCCTCCTCCTCCTCCTCCTCTCCCCTCCTCCTCCTCCTCCTCCTCCTCCTCCTCCTCCTCCCTCCTCCTCCTCCTTCTCCTCCTCCTGCTCCTCCTCCTCTCCTGCCTCTTCTATTCTCTGTGAGCAAGCTCCTGCTGTCTCCGCAGCTTCTCTGCCCAAGTGCCCCCCGTCGGCCGCGCGTGCGGGCGCCTTATGCAGGCGGTCGCACAAGCGGCTCTCCAGGGCGCTGGGGAGATTTTGTTCAGGGGGCTGCGGGCCGCGCTCTACGAGCGGCTCGTGGCTGCCCCCCTCTCTGTGCTTCAGGACCAGGGGCCTCCATCGCCTGCCTGGTCCATCCAGCAGGCGGACTCGTCCGAGGGTGAGGGGGCCTCCTGCCCTCTCCCTTCGGCGGGTTCCACCTGCCCCACCGTCTGCCTCGGGCTGGCGGTGGACCTGAGCGGCGGGGTCTCTCCCTGGCTGCTCAGCACGGTCGCCGCCCTCCTCTGGGTGACGGCCGCCTGCAGCGCCTGCGCGGGCTGCTGCCTCGGGCTGCTGGGCCCGTACGTGTGGCGGAGGCTCTGGCCCTCCGCCTGGCCGCGCGGCGCGGTTTCTGCTTCACCTGAGCAGGACCGCCGTGCGGCGCGAGCGCTGGCCTACGGGGCTCCGCCTCGACCTCAAGCGCTCGAGCGGGCAGACGCCCAGCGTGCGGGCGGCGGCGTCCACGGCGGCGCCCACTGATGGCGGAGCTGCCACCAGTTGGCGGAGGGCCCCTTTGGCCCGAGCTCTACCCTTTCGCTGCGCCCACGGCGCGCGACTACGCACGATGGCGCCTAGACGACGGCGACACCAGCTGGGCGGCTATCCCCCTCGCCTCTCGAGAAGGGGGCATCCTGCTGGCCCTGCCTGGTGCCTTTCGCTCTACAGCGGAGCTCGAGGCTGCCGAGGCGGATGGCTTTGCTGGGATGATAGGCCCCTTCCAGCTAGTGGACGTCCAGCTCCAGGGGGCCGCTTCACGGCCGCTCGCCACTACCGCATCCGTCCTCGTTATAGATATCGAGGTTGCCGAGCTCGAGCTCGAGTCGCTGTACCCTCTAGAGGTCGGCGACGACGCAGGCATCGTTCCCTTCGCCGAGGTGCGCAGCCGCGTCTATTGGCCGCATCCTTCGGGGGTTCGGGTGCTTCGCGAGGGCTACGCTCGTTTGCACGGCGCCCCGCCTACCGCAGGGGAAGAGCCTCTCCCAGGGGCCGATCGGGCTACCCCCTACCACTCTGCCGACGAGATGGAGGAGCCCGAGGGGTTCGCGGCCGACGGGGAAGCCGACCGCGCGGCCCCAAGTGCGCGAGCCCCCGCGGTCGCTGGAGCGCCGCGCGGCCCGCCCGCCAAGCGCGCTGGCGCCGCCGCGCCGCCGCGGGTCGCGGGTCCTGCTCCGATTGCTCCTGGTGCTCCTGCGGCGTCTCTGGACGACGGGGCTCCCATGACCCGCGCCGAGGTAGCTGCCGAAATGCGCGCCTTGCTTGCAGCCCACGCGGCCTCCACGATGGTCGGCGGACCCGAACCGCTGGGCCCCGCTCCGGCTGCCCGGAGCGCTCGGCCCGAGGTGCCTCAGCTTTTCAGCGACGAGGCGGCGCGCCTCGGGCTGGATCCTGCGGGGATCGAGGCCGTCTTGTCCCACGCGCCCGTGGCCCCACATCGGGTCTCCGCGCGCCCCAAGG